AATGGAAAGAGGAGAAACATGGTAATCCAAAACCAAAAAATGGGGAAACGGAATGAACTTTTTCTTTAACAAACAACAACAAACGGAATTGGGGAGTCCCATTCCCTTTCCCGTTTCCCTTAGCCCCGAACCAAACGCCCCCTTAAAGTCTTTGTTGAATCGTTTGTCAATTGGAGGAAGACGTGTTTTTTTAAAAGTCAATATCACTTTATCGAACATAATTAAATTTAGTGCTTGGGGCTTTAAAAAATTTGAAATACACTAAATTAGTTATCAATATCTTAAAAAAAGATGGCCCCCCATCCCCGAATATCCTCTAAGACCCGGTCGGACGATCACTTAGAAGATGTAAATTATTGAATTTTGATCGCAAATTGGTAGCAATGAATGAAACCTGCACCTGATACTTGCAGATACCCTATGCTTGGCATAATTGCTTCTCAGCGTAATTATCGGGAAACGAACTCGGACCTTACCCCTTAACACTCATTGTCTTTCCAACTGCACCATCCCCACCCATTTGTAGTTTGGTGGTCGTGTGCCCCTCCTACAAGAGCTTGTAAGTTTGAACCTCGAGAAAATTTTCTTTTCTAAATTTTTACTCTTCTTCTATAAAACTTTTTTCAAAATGTCCTAAAGAAACTTTCTACTTATTTTATTTCCATTTAAATATGTGAATACGTGAAAGTAAAAATAATATATAACCTAAATTTTTTAAAATAATTTTCTTAAATTTTGTAAAAATCAAACTAAGAAGATTTTCATGGGATGTGATGGTGTAAATATTCTTGAACGGATCAAGGAGAACAACTATTAATATAGTTATCATTTGGTCTGATTTGAATAAGAATAAATAATAAGTAATAAGAGTAAGTTGAAAATAACAAAATCTAACTCTACTATCCACTCTTTAATTATTAGTAAGCATTAGTTCATGAGTGTTTCCATTATACATTACTCCCTCCGTCCCAATTTTGATTACAATTTTTTTTCTTTTCTCTCGATAATGTTTGTTTATGTGTGTGTTTTCATTAATTATTTGATAAAATAAAATACTCTTGTCACCTCTTGTCGTGTATAACTTTTGACGTAGTTTTTTAATATGTAATTTTTTGTTTTTTTATTGATATACCAATTTGTAAATAAAAAAATTTCAAAAGATGGAAGATTTTACCTCATAAAGCTCAATTTGTAATCAAATTTGAGACGGGGAGTATAATTTAAAATAGTTAGCCGACATTATCAAGCATCAACCGAACAAACATTCTAATAAAAATTTCTCTATACTCTATAGGCATACCAGAGTCAAACATACAATTAGTTTTGTTCAATCAAAAGGAGAAACTTTTAAGGAAATATTTTCATTGTCACACAACCAAAACGATTATTTCGTTCATATTTACCAACCCGAATTTTAGGTATATGAGGTTTTAGGCATATTTATCAATGTCATTGTACTACAAAAGCAGTTTTGACGAGTAGAAAAAATGCAAATATAAAAACCAAAAATATTAGTAGTCTCAAAAAAATAGTTAGCATTTTGTCTTTAAAAAAATAAGAAAAGCGCCATGGATACAAACATTTCGTTGTAAAATACTACGTATAATTTGCAAGTATTTATGTTCAGCAAAATCCTTTTAAGACTAGATTTGAATGTCATAAAATGACACAGATGATTCAGGGCTCTACGTTGTTCTATTATATTGATCTGGGCCAGAGGGTTGGTTAGGTATGTGATTTGGAGTGAGGGCTCGGTGTAAAGGCTAGGATAAGGGGCTAGAGCATGGTTCTCTGGAGGGTAAGAGCGGTAAGTCTTGGGACTTAGAGCTTGTTCTCTTCAACCTATTTTTTATTTTTTTATTTATTATATTGAAATTAGATCAGATCAAAACTTAATTAAATCAAGACAGAATCAATCAGATAAAATTAAGAGAACAGCTACCGTTTGATTTCGAATAAAGAATCGTAGACTCCGAATAACTTTGGTGTCATAATTTTAATATGACACCAAAGTCATCATGTAAAAAAAATGGTGGTAATTTATATTTGTTGTCCTTTTCTTATGGGTGCAGTACAAAGTTGAGTGGCGAGGGAGATGGCGGTTTTGGCATGTCAGCATTGGTACAAAAATTTGTTGTTTGGTAGAGCAGTGTGGTGCCACCTTATGCGCCGAAAAGAAAAACACTGCACCACCACAACCAGTCTGAAAACCAGGCCTGCCACTTGTCCTTAGCTTGCTGCTTTATTATGTACCAATAGGATGCCACCACATGGTGCGATCATGAGTACATCTATGCTTCGCACAAATAACACAGATGACAATTATCTGTGCGATACAAATTGTAATTATCTGTGCAAAGCATTAGTGCATCCATATAGTAGCACCCTAGCAATTTTCTTTGAACAAATGCACCAACCCCTAGGGAGTGTACTTGTTCGTTTCTTGACGCTCCATAAATGAGAACACCAAAGTTGACACAATAAATAACTTTTTGAACAAACAATTGTCACTATTGGTGTGATCCTTGGTGGGTTTGTAGTACGACTCAGACAGAGTTGTGGCTAGAGTTTTCGCACGATGAAACCTCTCAAGGAATAGAGCCCCCATGGTCTATAAATAGACTCAAATCAATTCTAGGATATACAACAAAGGCTCTTGTCGATTGCGGGATATAAGATTGACAGTTGATATTTACACACAAAAAAACATCGTTCGTGTGTGTGGATAGTGATCTTTGGAGCGTATATATCAAAAAATAAAAATTGTTCATTGAAAGACCAACCATATTAATCAAGAAGACCATCAAAGTTTAATACAAAAAAGGAACAAACATTATGCAAGTGAAGGAGTAACAAAAACAACATCTTATAAAGGTTCTCTTCAAACTACAAAATCAAAGGAAACTCTCAAGAAAACATTAGAAGTTCGTATCAAGGTTTTGGGGAAAGCTCCCATGCTCCAAGTAATCAGACATAAACGCCGGAAGCAAGTAGTAAGAACAATGATCCAAAACCCTGCAGCCATGAAGTGATAATTGAGTTGAGAACGATCAGGCAAACCGAAAAATGAAACCACTAATTAGTGTTAATCATTGATGACATACCAAGAACACAGAAGCCACAGCCCCAGTCGTAAGCTCCTTTGCAAGGCTGCGTTTCTTGCTAGAAGATGTAGCCTCATAGCTGCATATGGGAAGCCCATATTATTGGTAATTAATCAATCGATTAAAACAAAACAAAAAATTGACACCATTGGATTAGTTTCTTTTAGATCCTTAGAGTCTCTCAGACAAGGACTTCTGGAGCTCAATAAGACCTTCTGTAACTCATAGCACCCTACAGAGGGTGAAGTTTAAAGTGTTACTTTCATTAAAGTTTCTTGATATGTCATGACATTCACAGTTTTGTTGTAGCTCCATTAAAAAAACAAGGATCAACTTCAAGAAAGCACAGCTTAGTGGGTATACAAAGCCATCAGGTAACAATGTGAACTGTGAAGCAAACTACCAGTAGTGACAAAAAATAAGAAACCAAGGAAAGAATCATAACATTTGGTTAACAAAGCTCAAATTTGGCATCTTAACTTAAAACAAACAAACAATGCATCTTCTAATTTAGCAGTGTGGGTGTGCTGTCTACAAAGTACAAAGTTATATATAACGAAGTAAAACAAGAAACAAGTGTAGGTAGATTCTACTTAAAGGCTAGAACCCATTGACTTCAGCGATGAGTAGTTAATGGTGGAAAGGACTAGTGTACAAAGCTGCACAGATGAATTGAAGCAATGGACTTTCTAGATATTCTCAAGTCCCAACGGTGCAAACCTCAAAATACATGCAAATGAAAAACAAAAATACATAGAATTGCTTTACGATATGTTTGGGAACTTGAATTTGAATTTCAAATCTGAATTTGGATCAAATTCCATGTTTGGAAACATTAAAATTTTGGATTTGGATTCGAGGCAAATTCCTAAAATTCATAACAAAGCTTAATTTGAAATTCACATACCTCCCCTTTTCATTTGAAATCCGAGAATTCAAATTTTGGAATTGAAATGCAATAATTGAAATGAAATGTTAATTCCCAAACACTACCTTATACTATTTGTTCCTAGGATTTTTAGACGTAAAGGAAAATCACAAGTATTGTTTGAGTAGTACTACATGCCTTCCCAAGTCCTACTTCATTTTTTACTCCCTGCATATGTGGTTGTGAGTAATTGAACCAAACAGAGGATATGATAGCTTATACTCACAAAAACAATTCAGATGCTTCTGTAGACATTGATGATGCTTACTATATCACAAATCAATTATATCACAAACCAGAAAGGTTTCTAAAGACTTTAAGGGAATGAAATAGTCTTGGAGGATCAAAATAGACCACATTCAGTTCCTCACATGAAGACCGATGTAATATTGTAATCTAATCTATCTGTAAGACATAATGGCATGAAATGTGATCAAATCTAAGCCTACACTAAAAGCGTACTCTCTCTCTCTATCCGGATTGTAGGTGATTTTAGTATTACCGGACTATTTTGGTAATTGGGATTTACTTTGAGACCAGACGTGAAAGCATACTCCGTAATAGACATGGATAGGAGTTCGGAGGAGTGCAGTGTTCACTCGTAGAAACATTTACGATTTCTATTGGGGGGGGGGAGGGTTACAAGGGGGGCACTGCCCCTGATAGTTGGGTCCAAGGGGCGGTAGCCCTAGGTGGGGTCCAAGTATTCAAATACTGTAAGCCAATATTCGAATACTTCTCGCGCAGATGTGATGGTTCATCCCAACATATGCGTTTGGTCGGATTTGCTCTATATAAATGCATGCACAATGGTATGTGTTAGACACAGAATCATACATATTTCGTTCTTGAGGAATTCTTCTTATCTGATTAAGGAATTTTCGGAGTAACACTGAAATTACTTTATTCTAAAAATGATTCACGATTCAAACGTCTATCCGGCTATACTCCAAGTTTCCAAATTCGAAAGAAAATTTCAACACTGATTTTGTTGTCCAGTACTCCTTCTGGGACGTTTACTGATCATATATACTGAGTAGTAAACAAATTGTTTCCAATGGTCAAAAGTATCCCAAGCATTGTTGTAGTCAATGAAAGAAAAGCTAATTTCTAGGATTTTATTCTAGCCTCATCGCTTAAATTTGAAGTACTTCGGAAACTGGACAATAAAATTCTTAATTACATTGTTATTATGAGCTAGCAAACTACACCCAAGATCATCATTTTTTAAAAAGGCCTTTAGAAATCTAGGTTCAAATTTTAGGGTTTCCAGTCAATGTTGATATACAAACCAGTTAATCCTAATGCAATCAAGCATGCCACACGCATTCAAGATGAAAAAAAAGCATAAAGTGAATATCTCAAGAGAGATCGAAGGCTCACATGAAAAATGAAGCCGTGACGGCGAGGCCAACGGCGAGCATGAAGAAGGCAAGAGTCGGATACATCGACACCGGCACCGGACTCGAGATCGGTTTAGCTGATTGAGCCTTTTTTTTTTGCAAAGGAAGAGAAAATTGAACAAGAATCAGAGATTCATTTTAAATCAAAATGAGATTGAGAGATGAAGAAAGAGAGAGATGGACATTGAAATAATTGTATACCATCTTCTTTGTTTGGATCTAGAAAACGAGCGAGCTCTGGCTATGGATATCTGACGACGGCTGATTCACTTGGAAGACTGTTCGTAGCTTTTACTGGGACGGGGATCTCCGACGAAGCCGCTTTGTAATCCCTCCTAATTTGTCTACTTTGACTCTTTTGTAGTGAAGGATAGCCTTTGAGACGAATATCTCACGAATGTCTTATCTTAGTATTTTCAGAATTAATCTATACTATTAATTTTTTTTTCTAAAATGCCAATATTAATCGAAAGTAATGTTTCGAAATAAGACCAAAATTTACTCCTAGAGACATTTTTCTACACCATTTTTATCAATACTTTAGATATCCACACAAAAATGCTTGGAAACACAAATTATACCCGAGCCATCTCCCCACCATACATCTCTTGGTCCGAATAAAAAAGTTTGGGAAACGGTAAGAAATGTAGTGTAGGAAAGACGTGTGCGATACAATTTGGTTTATTTCTAGCATGACTCAAAAGCAACATGTCTTGATCAAGTACACTTTATATTAAATTATCACCCAATTAGTATAACTTCATTAATATGAACATTTTCTTATAACCAGCTATTTCCCATTTCCTATATGAAAATTTACCTAAATAGTACTAAAATATAATAATTTTCTCAATATAGTAACATATGTTTTTATTTCCAAATGTGATATCACTTATCATTATTCAAGTAAATGTTCACTACCACTGGACATTGTTTAAATTAAATGTCTACCATGACTGGATATTGTTCCTGCCACTAGACATTATTTAAGTACTCCGTACTATTTAAGCAATAAAAAAGTTTAAGTATTACATTAGGAAATGACATATACTTTAGTACTATTTAATGTAAATTTACTTTCCTATAATATCCAAAACAAATTGAGAGAGATTGTTATAAAAAAAGATTTGATTGTACTCCGCAGTTAGGACCTTCAGATGATAACACTTACCGAGTACGAAAACTAAGTCATACTCCATAATAAAACAATGTTCTTGAGAGTAACTTTGATGTGTATTTCTGCAAAAAATTACAGTACTAAATAGGATGATTTTCACTAGTTATACCTCACAAGAAAATCAAAAGTCAGTACATTTGAAACAAATAATACTCTGGGAGCCTACTTCTCCTCTTCCATGAGAATTAAAAAGAAAAGAAGCTCTAATGTATGATCTTTTCCTGCACAAGACCGCATCATACCGTACTCCGTCATCATTCTTGAACAATTCCGCGACTTCGGCAACCATTTTCTCAGCTGCGTGTGTCTTCTGTAGGCAGAAGCTAGGACCAATCTATCTCACCTGCGTGTATATAAACCGCACATTATGAATGAAATATATGCTGCAGCATAATATAAAATCGCAGGTTAAAACACGAAAGAAACTAATAAGATGAAGAAATGACTACTCATATCTACCAGGTTATGCATTCGGATATATAGCATACACGGAGTATATATATATATATATATATATATATATATATATATATATATATACACACACCTACTCTCAAGAAGAGAACCATGCTTGAAAACTTACTTTTCTACTGGCACAATTGTGTCAAAAGCGCCGTGCCTCTAGCTTTTTCCTATAAAGTATCAGATAGGAAAATCATTGCACACAGGCATGCAAAAAACAATGAACACAAGCTAGAGACAACATCTAGCCTAGCCTTACAACAATAAACAGAGGAAAACTATGTATTGAAAATAGAGATGTAGAGTTTTAAGGTTATATCTCATCCTCGTCGTCCTCTTCTCCAGCTACATTCTTAATAAGGAAGAAAAGGCAATGAATGAGAGGCATCTTAGAGTAAAACACACCGCGATGGCAACAACAAGGATGGCACTGGGCCAGCAATGATCTCAGCAATCTGATGGACATCCACATCACAGAAGGAAAACTCATGGCCCCGGGCAACCAACTCATACTCGTGATCCTCATCCACCACTCCACTTTGCAAGTTGAATAGCAATACGCGGGAGCTGTTTTCTCCCCCGCAGAAAGCATCTCCATCGTGGAGGATAAATCCTCTTGTGGAATTTAGATCGGTGTTCAGAAACTTGTGCACCAACCTGTTGGGTTATTCGGTAAAGGCTTAAGAGCCTTGGGCTTTAAGCCCGACCAGCTTAAGGGAAGAAACACGTGGGTGGTTGGGGGGGGGGGGAGTTCAGTTATTAATTAAAGGGCCAATCAGTCGTTTCTTGTTTTAGCAAGTTGTTAGCCCAAGTTTATATCTTATAAATACCCAATCATGTAATTATAATCTGCGAGCACCTAATAAAAGATAAACCCTAGTTGCAACCCGTGGAGTAGGTTACTGACCAAACCACGTTAAATCTTGTGTTCTTATTTTCTGCTATTTGTGTGTGTGTGTGTGTTACTGTGTTAGTTCGCTTCCGCTTGACCGCCTATGATCTCTGATTCCTAAGACAACCTCCACTCCTCCATGTCATAGTCCTCAAGCTCCCATACACAATGAAATATAGGCTCTTCAAGAAATGTAGTGTATGCTACACGAAATCAACCTTGGAACACGCCAATGCTCTGTCGATCTAGGTAACAAGGACAGTCAATCTGCATTTCAATTACACAAGAAAGTTTTGTGGGATCATAAAATGAATCATACACTAGAACATAAGCATAATTCAGCCAGTGCAACCTCCCTTTAAATGGAACAACATTCCCTTCGCGCTTGATTGTTAATTCCACTGGAGATGAAACCATTAGACTCCTCCATTGACCTTCTTCGGATGAATAGAGCATAACTTCTATCAGGAAAACCAGCTTACCTTGAATTATTTCTCTTCTGTATTGCTCACTATGAATTAGCACCACCATAAATTCAAATATATTGTAGTCTGCACCTCCATGTTCTTGGAGGCAAAGGGAACAGGGTGTAGGAGTAAAGAGCAAGCCAATAAGATAATCATATAAAGGCTGCCAGGATGATAAACAACTGGAAGACCAACCCATCGCCGGGTTCGCACATTACAGAGACAGAAAGGTGAGATCAAATTAGGGTTCAAAAGAGCATAAAACTGTTGGTGATTTTAGTGTCATCAATTTATTTTGTGTAATTGGATTTACTTAGATCGGACAAGAATTTAAATATACGTTGTAAAACGAGTTAGGAGACGTGAAGTGTGTGCTCGTTCAACGATATTGCAAATTCATTGCGGGGATCCTGGGGCGGCAACCCCTGGTACCGGGGTCCAAAACGGTAAAGGACGGGAACAAGTGGTTCAACGAACAATGCCCCGTGGTTCAACGAACAACGCCCAAGGTGAGGCTCCGGTGCCTGCGGGCTGCGGCTACGGCGCCCAAACTCCACCATTGGCTTACAAACGGCACGCAGCAAATAAAGTGAATTTGGTACCTTTTTTTTATTAAAAAAAAGTGAATTTCGTACCAGAAATGGCTTCTGGGTCATTTTGGTAAAAAGGGTAAAACAATTTCTTGCGTTTTGGTACCACAGAAAAATCTACAAGAGAATATATATACTCCCTCCATGTCAGTAAACCTTTTTCTTTTCTTTTTTCATCCGTCTTAAAAAACACTTCTCATTTCTATTAAAAATCACTTTTATCCCTTACTTTTTCATACCCTACCTATCACATCATAACTTTTTACTAATAATCTATCCATCAAATCATACTTTTACCCATCACATCAAAGGACATTTTTGAAAATTCAATACCAAAATACACTCTCCTTAAATCCCTCTCCAAAACCAAAACTCCCATGTTTTTCGGGACGGAGTGAGTATATGTTTGCCGATCTTTGTGCGTCCTCTCTGCTCTCGATGTGAGTATTTAAAAAAGAATATTTTTATTTAATAATTACAACCTATAAAACAAACATTCTTTCACATCCATTTTAAACTTCTCTCTCTAATAGAGTGTGTTATTTCCTATATGTATTCCAATGTCAATTTAATTTAACGGAGTGTCATCTTATTTTTAAAAATTACTCCGTATTTTATTATGGTTTCTATCTTTTAGTTAATTTTTAATTTTATTTGTAGATTTCAAAATTTATTTAAACTGTATATTATTAGTTTAATTCTAATTTTTACTCTCTACCAAATAGTAAAAGGATTTATTTCTGAATGTTATTTTCTATTTAGTTTTGTAATATTTTATGTTGTTTACGATTTGTATTTTGAAATCAATTTAAATCAATGAGTGTCATCTCATTTCTAATTATTTTTATTTCTTTTCTATTTAAAAAATTTATTCGGGTTTGTAGATTTTAATATCAATTTCTATTAATCCAGTTAAGTTTAAGTTAATTATTTTTAAAAAAATAATTGTAGCAAGTTGGTAAATTGACGTATGTACACCTCCACTTGCAGTAAGAAAAGTATAAAATTATTAGAATCTAATGTGGTGCTGATGTGTATGAGAGATAATGCAGTAAAAAGTATGAATAGTATGTGTACCTCCACCCTTATGGTTGCTCCGTTAATGGCCACCAAAGTGCGTTTATTAATACCCTGTCCAGTCTCTCAAAAAAACAACTTTCACACTACTCAGAGAACAACTACAATGGAAGACTAAATGGAAAGATAAAGACTAATAAAAGGATGAGCCCCATCCTAGGATTTCCTAAGACTCGGCTAGACCGTAAGTAAAGACTAAAAAGATAATGTGGTATAAGGCGCGACACAAAAGTGGTTGTCTATTGTCATGCCCCTCTGCAATGCCACATCGGGCGTGACAGGGCCGTAGAGATGATCAAAAGGACTGCATCGGTTGGACCGGACTATTGTAGTCTTTTAGAAAGACTGGTATGATTTAGTGCGGAATTGGTCCGGTCTTTTTGATAAAATCGGTCCGAACTACTCGGGTTTTTTATATGAAAAAAAATAGAGAGTTTTAGGGATCGGGTAGTCCGACAAGGACCGGTCCTAGTTCGATCCGGTCTCTATTTTATATGATTTTTAAAATGTTACTCCGTACTTTTTAGTTCTTTAGAAAACTAAAAAAATATAAATATTACTTCTTTTTTATCTAATTTCTTCAATTACTACACGTTGATTTTTATTAAGTATTTATGCAACATAAATGTATTTTTCTAGGATAGATATTAAATACAACAAACATTTTTTTGAATATAAACTTGTACATTTGAATTTGTTATGACATATATTAAAATTTATAAAAAGTATGTGAAGTATTAAGTTGTATATTTAATAAGATAAATGAATTTTCATTTAAATAATATGTTAAAAAATAAAAAAATTTGTGTAAAAGTTATATTTTAATGTTACATTAAGAGACTAGTCCTAATTCGGGCTCGGTCTAGTCTTTTTACAAAAGACCACCAATCCGGAACCAGTCTAGTCATCCCCCAATTTAGACGACCAAATGAGACTACTGCAGGTCCAAGACCAAACCAGTCCCAAGGAACACTTTGGTCCCTGTCTTTCCCGGTCCAATCCCGATCTATCTCGGATGATCTTTTCGGTCCCAATCTCTTTGCTCTTCTCTACGAGGGCATGACCCCGAAGGGGTGACCGCACTCACTGCTGCTCCGCTGCTTCGTTTTCTGCTCCCAACCGTTGAAAACGGCTATAATGCCGTTGCACAATCTTTTTTGTTTTGTACCATTGCATCTACAAAAAAATAATCTATAAATCTCCCATCATGACTCATCAATCCCTTAACCAAAAAACTAAAAAACTATTTATTGTAACTTTTATCTCAATTCTATATTCTCTTCTCTCCAATGAATCCAAACAACCCTGATTACAATATGTTTTTTCGGTTGTTATCAGTCAGAAATGGATCAAAATATGCCAAACATACCAGGTGATAACCCACCGACGATGCCTATTCCAAACCCAGCAATCTTACTCCATATAATGTCCATGTTTTTTTCTGTGCAAACAAGAAGCCAATACTTGACAACATACTCCATAGAGAAATGGGAGTCGCCAATCTCATGTATAGATAAGTTTGGGCACACTTGAACTATGCAGTCTTTGATTTTGTAATTACTCATGCACAAATAAAAAGTCTGATATTTTCTTGTAAAAAAAACAATCAAGACAAGCATTATATGCACCAAATAGCCTAGCCTTACATCAATAAATAGAGGAAAATTGTACATTAAAATAGAGATACTCCATACTTAGTAGAGCTCTGCATTATAAACAAGGAAGAAAGGGCAATCAATGCATGAGATGCATATTAAGAGTCAACAATACCTTGGTAGCATGTCAAGGGCGGCACTGGTGTAGGCCACCAAAGATCTGCGATCTGATAGACATCCACATTACGGGAGTAAAATTTATGGTCGCGGTCAACCAACTCAAACTCGTGATCCCCACCCTCCATTCTTCTCTGCAAGTTGAGTAGCCATACACGAGATTTGTTTTCTCCCATGCAGAAAGCATTTCCATCATGGAGGATAAACTCTCCTGTGGAATTTAGGTCGGTATCCTGAAGCTTGTGCACCAACCTCCATTTCCCCGTGTCATAGTCCTCGAGTTCCCACACATAATGAAATATTGGCTCCTCAAGAAATGTAGTGTAAGCTACACGAAGTCGACCTTGGAACACGCCAATGCTCTGTCCATTGATGTAAGGATTGTAGGCAAGCTGCAATTTAATGACATGAGAAAGATTATTGGGATCATTATGAGGGTCATACACTAGAACATGATCCTTATTCAGCCAGTGCAACTTCCCTTTATATGGAACAACATTCCCTTTGTCCATGTCTGCTAAATCCACCGGGGATGGAACCATAACACTCCTCCATTGACCATCTTCGGATGAAAAGAGCACCGTGTCCATCAGGGGAACCGGCTCACCTTGAATTGTTTCTCCTTTTCGAATTAGCACCACCATAAATTTAAAGTCATGATTATTGTCTACACATCCTCCATGTTCGTGGAGGCAAAGGGAACAGGGTGCAGGAGCACAAAGCAGGCCGATGAGATAATCTTTTGAAAGGCGGCCAGGATGAACGGCGGGAGGAAGATGAACCCATTGCCGGGTCCGCAGATTACACACATAGAAAACTGTGGTCCAATCAGAGCCAGGAGGCTCACTAAAAGAGCATAAAATCAGGTCATCACAGGAAGCATTCACTCCAATTCTGCGATGTGGAAGAAAACTCAAATCAGCCCTGTCCACCCGCCGCACGGCGCCACTGGAACTACAGTGAGCAACTGACAGGTAGTCCTATGCCATGCTACGAAATCTACGATGATGGTGAAATACGAACAAAAGTCTGTACGGCGGCGATTCCGGATCTTGTGTGGCCGGAGAGAACGGGTCGTGACGGCGGTGATTGAAAACCCTAACGAAATTGGCTGAAGAGATGAGAGAATTCCAGCACTTGCATACCAATTTCAATTGAGCAGCTGTTCGGCACGGGAGCCTAGAAAATATATCAATTAACAAGCTCTCGCACAGGTCATCGAACGAGTTGTAATTTGAGAAACCTTTTATCTTCTTGGCCCGGTGCCTGAGCCTGCGGCGGCGGTGGCGGCAACGGATTTCTGAATCCAGGCTTAGGCTGCAGTCGCTGCTTTCAGAATCCGAGCCGCGTCTGGGGCGGCCTGAATCCACCATTGTAATCACCTAACCAGGAAATCAAATACCCTAAATTCTATTTATAATTTGGATTTGAATTTGCTTATTCAAATACAAATAAAATTCAAATATTAGTTTTGATTCAATATTAAAGAAATACAAATACATAGAGAGTTACTCTGTCCGTTCCTAATTAGATTACAATTTTTTTTCTTGTCTTCTCGATAACTTTTCTTTGTTTACGCGATTTCATTAAGTATTTGATAAAATAAAATATTCTTGCCACCTCTTATTTTGTAGATTTTTGAACGTAGTTTTTTAATATATAATTTTTTTTATTTCCTATCGATATACTAATTTGTAAATAAAATGATTTCAAAAAGTGAGATTTTTCTCCTCGTAAACCCCAATTCGTAATCAAATTGGGGACGGAGAGAGTATATTCGATTCAGATGATATTTGAATATTCGAATATATTTATACATATTGACCTTGTTTTCAACATCAGTAGTCAAACAAACTAATATACTACGTAGTATAAAAGGCATTTAAATTACCAAGATTTCATCGAATTAGCCTAACACAAAAATATAAAGCTGATGATTTGCAATAGTTATATTTTATAAATTATTATTTGTGTAAGACGCAAATGTATTCATATTTTTCAATATGATATAAGAAATATTGTAAGTTAAATTATTCAAAATAGACATATAAATTACGGAGTATGATTATTCGAATATTCGTTTAAGATTCGTTAAGTATTTGAATATTAATCAAATACAAATACAAATCTTATCTTTAATTTGTTTCATATTCGTATTTGGATACATATTCGAAAAAATTAAACAAATACAAATTCAAATATTACGGTATCCGCTTTGATTCGGTTCGTTTACAACCCTAACCAGCTCTTAGGTTGGTTTATGTTACTTTGCTCATGGCGGTCTTTCTATCACTTTCTTTGCTTATTTTTCTTTTTAGTTATTTGATAAAATAATATAGTCTTCTTATATCTTATTTTGTAGATTTTTTATATAATTTTTAAATATATATATTTTATTTTTTAATTTTACACCGACAATCAAATGAATTGAATTGAAATTAAAGTCAATCAAATCTCATAAACAAAAGCGAGAAGAACATTTCAGGACAGAAATATGAACAAGCTTGGGATTAGATTTGGCCCGCATCGGCCACCGGCCCAACCACTTTCTATATACTCCGTATATAAATGAGTTTACTGAACTAATTAGGGTTGGGTTGGAAAAACCGAAAAACGAAAACCGAACCGAAATCGATCGAAATGAGCTAGAAAACAAACCGAACCGAAAAAAACCGAAACCGAATGTAAAAAAACCGAACCAAACCGTTAGTGTTTGGTTCCATTTTGGTTTCACTTTGAAAAACCGAACCGAACCGAATAAACCGAACATTCTTAGATACTTCGTTTTATTTATATGAATATATGTGATATATAGAAAAATCATAGAAATATAAATGCAAATAAATTAATAGTCGATTAAAATTATTTTCTTATCTATAAATTAAACATTCTAGCCATATTATTATAAACTTTAAAAAAACTTAAGAATATATATGAACACCAATAGCTAATCCTAATATAGAATTATATTAAAATTAAAAATTGATACGCGTAATTTACATATTTACATAAAAAATACTTTCATGTCATAATGAAAATGAAAGTATTATACAAAAAAAATATAAATTCTTCGTAATTGATTTTACATACGATGTCTTTGAAAGTATTTGAAATCTTCTAAATGTTTGTTAGACACTCAAAATATATTTCATATGTAAAATTGAACTAAAAGGAACAATAACCCTCCGTTTGGTTTTTGTTTTTGTGTAAAAATCAAACAAAAAACCAAAGCTAACACTACATATTGTTAATGTTTCATCGAGTTAGTGATTTTCTTTTACATTTTTTTAATGCTTATAAATTTCTACTTTTATAAAACGAAAAAACCGAAAAAAAACAGAAATAAAAACCCTATAAAACCGAACCGAATAACCAACGGTTTACATATTAACGTCATTGTTTATATGATTGCGCTGTTCCTACGTTGATGTTCTTCTAGATAAAAGCTTCCTTCAAATCATAGGTAAATAACTCTGATACTCTCTATGATTTTGGAAATAGACATCAATGTCCTCCTCTATTTCTCTTTATTATTTTTCTTTTTTCTTCTCTTTTTTCATAAATTTTTGTAATCTATTTTTTGAAACTACTTTTTATTATGTTTTAATATCAAAAAAGTTTGTGTTTAAAATAAAAAATCAATGAAATAAAAAAATAATGTACACTTCATTTGTATAAAATTAAATATTTTTATTTTTTATCCAAAAGAGGTCCTTCTAAGTTCATTTTTTCTTGATACAAAAATCAATCGAACATTTTTCTCTAATTTCCACTCTCATTTTTGTTCATTTTTTGGTTTATTTTTTTCTTTTTTTATTTCATTTGAAAATTGATTTTATAACATTTCTTTTATTTTAATCAAAATTAAAATAAAAAAGAATAGAAAAGAAAATTAGGAAAAACAATTATGTGACAAATAGTATTATAGCATAGAGAAAATTAGGTAATGAAGAAAATATGTTGTGCATCGATCCAAAAAAATGTTTTGAATATATAATAAACTAAATATAAAAAAAGTTAAGAACTTTATTTAGACAAAAATAAAAATGTTCATTTGAGAAAAATTAGGTATATGTTAAAAATTTATTTCATTTTTTATTTCAAACACAAACAGATTTTATTTTTTAAAACATTTAAAAAATATAGTTTTGAAAAAAACTATTGTTTTAGACGCAAACATTTTTCTTTTCTTTATAAAAAAGAGAAGAAAAAATAAAAAAGAATAAAAAAAGTGAGAGGACGGTGGTGTCCATTTCTAAACCATAGGGGACAGCGGAGCAATTCATCTAATAATATTTAAAGGAAATTTTTGGTCTAGAAGCGCATTGACGTAGAGATTTCAGAACATGAGGAGCAATGACGTAAGTTTTGAAACTATAAGGGGTAACAATGTACACTTATCAAACCATAAGGAGTATTGGTGCAATAAAATCATATATAAATACATTCCATATAAACACTTAATATATTGTACAAATATTTGTCTTTTTGAATAATACATTTATGTATTTTATATTGATTGAAGCAATTATAATTCTATAATATTGTTTGGTATAAAAGTCATATTATATTCATTTTAATATTAAACAAAATACTAGATATATATATTTTATATATTATGATTAAAAACTATTCTATAAACTCGGTATTAAAAAGTTCTAGCAGAGTTGCCCTGTGTCCCGTTTTGATCACCTACATTTGGGCATGATGTTTGACCCAAATTTTGCACAAAAGGGCAAAAAATAGCCTCAGAGTTGGCCCAGATCTGACTCCGATCTGTATTTGTGCAAGTCTATTATGGAGTTATTTGTGCTTGTAAATGTGCATGTTTAGTTCTAATAAAAATTTATTCTAAAGTCAACAAATTTTAGAGGGGTGCAATTGAAAAGGCGGGGGAGAGATTCAGGTTAGACTATGATGAAGGGTTTACGCGGAGGTTAAGTGAAGAGGAACTATTAGTTTTCTAAATGGAGCACCGTAGGACCCTCAAGTCATCTAATGACATTGGCCCCAATGTCATGGGAACTAAGTCATTATTATTATTATTATTATTTTAATTATTGTTATTATTAGTACTATTATTATTATTATTATTAAAGCATGTCTCTTTACCATAAAAAGTACACCCTCCTTTTGACAATCTCTATTGTCATAGTATGACACCAAAGAGTACAATACTCTATTCGAAAATTGATTATTTTTACATACTAAATCCTCACTCCTTTCGCACCTCACCTCATGCATCCTCCCCAAAATGCCAAAATACTATTGTAAAACGGAGTCCATTTATTTGGACGGCTAAGCGTTGAAAGAGGAAGTGTTTGGTTGTAACACCAAAACCCACGTAACCCCGAACAAATATGTTAGCGAATCGAGTTGCCGCTAATAGTATCCACATGACAATAATTTTCAAAACAATTAAAAATATCACAAACAATCATGTATAATAACTAAAAATAAATCATAAATCAATCGGAGTAAAAGAAATCCAAGCATTTGTGGAAGCCTTAAATCCAATATCTAAAACAACTTTAATACCTTGAGCAATAAATTAACAGAATTTTTAAAATAATAAATGAAGAGCTTCATTCATCCACCGAGGTCACATCTCATTATCCTCCAAGCTGATCATCTGATCCTTGATTTTCATCTGCGTCCAGTCAAAGACAACAAATGCTATACGCTCAACTGAAAGCTGAGTGAGAATATATCTAACGCTAGAACTAATTTAAAGACTAACATTCATCAATATAGAACCACACAATATCTGAAAAATAAAAAATATCATTATTCAACATTATATTTAATCTTTCCTATATTCAGTTCAGATCTTGCATATTTTTACCACACTCAACCTACTTGGATAAAGTTCTTTTTAACTAACTAAAGTTATTGACACTCAAGCGGATCCTTCGAGGCCATGCTCAAAATCCAAAGAAGATCTCCAATGGGCGGGTTGGAGTCCCTACCAAAAGATTCCTAGGTAGGTCCTGGATTCTCGTGCGTATGTTTTTAACCCATGACCTGTGAGTTATGCAAAGCTCGCCCCACCAGGCCTAAATACTAAATCATAACTTAATGGTGATTTCAATATTCTCATCAATATAATACATAACACAATCATATTCAATAAAGCACAAACATCGGCCTATCGAGGAAGGAGCTGAGGAACGATGTTCCACCAATTACCGTCATGAAATCAAACATTACAATTTATAATATAACAATTAATAATCGAAAAATCCTTCATCGAGTTCCACGTCGTCATGTTGAGACTTTTCGTTCCATTTCTTTGGTTTTTTACTGGGAGGTACAACAACTTTGAACCATAGAATAAAAGGTACCTTATTTTCAATTTGTAACAAAAACTACCATATCTTAAATAAAGTTAACCAAAAAAAATCCCTTGTCAAAATTCAGAGAATTCGACGAGTAAGTGCACATGTGACATTTGAGTTGGCTTCCTAGTGTACGTGTAGCATTCCAAATGGCTTTCTAATTAACAAGTAACTTATCATAGACTGGGTTTAGCTTTGTGCCTTCATATGTATACAGTCGTCGGGTATGAAAGACCCAAGGGTGAAAGATCGGTGTTGATTCGAAGGATAAAGTAGATTAGAGAATGAGAGAACATATTGATGAGTTATGAGATTGATTGAGTTCTGATCTTCTTCTCCACATGCCGGAGAGGGGTACTTATAGGTGACCGGGAACTAATCTTGCTCCCTGAGTTTTTACACTGGCGCTGGTCATGTTTCCTCATAACTAACTTACATAAAATATCTCGCATTTTCTGGGCAAATTCAACATGCCCGGTCGCCTACCAATGAGGAGAATGCTCATATTCTAGCGCTCGACCAACAAAAGTTCTTCCTAGCCGATCGTCAAACGTCCACTGGGCCTTCATTCTTGATCTCCGACGCCTTCTTCCTTAGGCTGGATATCCCGTCCCTATTGTGTCCGTCAACAATTAAATTCTAAACATACGGAGTAATCTTGTATTTATACAATATGATTTTTTTTCTAATGGTAGATTTTATGTTTAATTTTATTCTATTTTAACCTCGTGCTTCCTAGAAGATTTTTAATTTTAATATTTTGTTGGTTTAATTACGGATTGAAACTTAATCAGCTCGAGTGGATACTGGTTCGGGCAGAATGTAGATGTATGGAACGGAACTATAAGGGCACAAAAAAGATACCAATGCTTGACAACATACTCCTTACAAGGGAGTCGCGCCATTTTTCATAAATTGACCAAGTTTGGGCACAGTTTAATTAACTCCTTAACCTGCATGTTATGAACTCTTTGGTTTTGAAATTACTAAAAAGCAAACATGTTCATCAGTTTTCAATCACACAAAGATCAAAAGTTTTGGTATATTGTTTTTTCAAGGAAAATACATACATTTTGTATTAAAATAGAGACAATACTTTATAGTAGAGTAGCCAGGTGCATTAGTATAACAAGGAAGGAAAGGCAATGAATGAATTGAGATGCAAGTTAAGAGTGAACGACGACACCTCGGTGGCAGGACAATGATCTGCAATCTGATGGACATACACTTCACATGACGAATGGTCAAGGCGGTGGGGAACCAACTCGTACTTGTGATCCTCACCCACCCCTCCACTACGGAAGTTGAATAGCCACACACTGCACGAGAGCTCTCTCATCTTCCCATTTCCATCATGGAATATGTATAGTGTTGGGGAATTTCGACCGGTAATCTCAAGCTCGTGCACCAACCTCCACTTCTCCATTTCGTAGTCCTCGAGCTCCCACACAGAATGAAGACTAAATATTGTTTGCGGCGGCTTTGGTGGCTGCTTTCTGAGTCCTAAATATTGTTTTTTTTTTTAAATTTTAATGTTTTTTAGATGAATATAAAAAAAAGTAACAGACATTTGAGATACTATTTTGTTATCATTCGTTCTCTTTTGTTTGTTAAATACGATGTATAAATTAAATTAAGTTTTATAAGTATTCCTTGCACTTAATTATTAATTTTTCAATTGTTTATCTTTCTTTATTTGAATATACTTTCAATTTTTTTAAAATAAAAGTTTTTATAGATTTCAAAGTGTAAACTAAGTATGTATAAATATTTATCCCAATATTTACCAAAACAAAAACTGAACCATCACGAACTATATTGAACCAATACTTTGGAATCGAGATTGCTACGATTAGTTAGGCCTAATCGGGAGGTAGTGTTTTCTATCCACATTGTTTTGCAACGAGCAATTTTTTCTTTTTGAGAATTTTTTTGGTTAACTTTTTGCTACCTTCATCTTGAATACATTGTCCCCAATTTGATTTTAAATTAGGAGTTATGAGGCAATTTTTTTTCTTTTAAAATTATTTTATTTACAGTTTGTTATATCAATAAGAAATAAAAATTATATATTAAAAAAATGAGTTAAAAGTTCTATAAAACGAGAGGTAACAAGAATATTTTATTTTATCAAATATTCAAGGAAAACACACAAATAAACAAAGAATATCGAAAGCAGAGAGAAAAAATGTAATCTATTTCGGGACAGATAGAGTACATCTCTACTTTTGATTTTTTAGTCAAAGTTGGTAAAATTTGACTACTAATTTCATAAAAATGATACTCCCTCCGTCCCAATTTATTTACAACACTTCGAACGACGTGCAAAATATCATCTCTTTTAAAATCACTTTAGTTTCAAATTGGTAGAGTAATAAAAAGTAAAAATTACACCATTTAAAAGTATATGAAAAGCTCTACAAAACAAGATGCGACAAGAATATTTTATTTTATCAAATGGTCAACCAAAATGAGTAAACAAACAAAAGTTATCGAGAGGCCAGAATAGTAAACGTGGCATTCTTTCTGGGACTGAGGGAGTATTAAAGGTCTATTTGGAAACCTAGAAAATGCCTTTAGGAAAATTGACTTTAGGAAAATGAGTTATTTTTGCTTTTCTGGGATTTGGTTGAAAGTATGAAAACTTTCTTTTCATGTTTGGTGCATTTTCCAGAAAAATAAACATTCAAAAAATGAATTGTTTTTAAAATAATTAATGAAATCTTTAAATGATGATTAACAATGCAAAATCAATAAATTTGGATCTGAAATCAAGAATGAGGGGTGTTGGGATGATGAAGAAGAAGATAAAAACTGACAATATGAGCCATCATCATCATCATGTACATTTCAAAATGGCATCATCACATCTTCTATTCCAAAATTGTATTCCATCAACTTTTTAAGATCTCCACACTTCCCCTATGCCTACAACACATATATATAGATACACTTCTCTGCAATTGAAGAAGAAGATCATGGGGGAAAAATTGTTCTATTACTGTACAGTGTAAGATCAGTTAGACGCGGGCCACAACCTAGACACCACCCCGTGTTCGCTCACGCTCCCGCCCGACAACCGTCTCATTTTCTTCCACAATCTCCGGGCCCTCCTACCCGCCGCCGACCCCCCGTGGGACCCGCATTCGCGAATCCCGTATCTCATGGACGGGCTCAAGAGGTCTGACATGGAATGCCCGCGCTCGAGGTCGACCTCGCAGTCCGAGTTCGACCGGTGGGAACGGGCGTTCAAAGCGACATCCGCCAACCCACGGTGTTCTTCCGCACGACCAACAAGCACATTCTCTTGATCATCGCGGTTTTGGGACTCCAAATCTTTGGTCTCACTGCACACCAACTTCAGGGCCTGAACCACTTCCCCCATGAATGGTCTGTGAGACACCTCCGGTTGCACGCACATCGAAGCAATGGCAGCCACTTTTGTGACACTATCGACCGGGAAATCGGGTCCCAACGACGCGTCCACCACGAATTCCAAACCTTCTTTGGTCGTGAGGAACGGCCGGGCCCACGAAACCAAGTTCTCTTGACCGGGCGGGAGTGACATGTCCACCGGTTTTCTTCCGGTTAGGAGCTCAAGAAGGACGACGCCATAACTGTACACATCACTCTTCACTAAAAGATGCCCAGTCATTGCGTACTCGGGAGCCACATACCTGCAATAGTAAACATTAGCTTGGTTGAGTTGGTTTCTTGACATGGTATCAGACTATCAGAGCCTTGTTGACCAAGAGGTCACAAGTTTGAAATTCACCACTACACAGTTAAAAAAGTGAAGGTTCCCATATCGTTACGAAGCACACATACCCAAAGGTTCCCATAACACGAGTTGAAATGTGTCTGTTTTCTTCATCAAACGCAGCGCGAGCAAGACCGAAATCCGACACTTTGGGAGTAAAATCATGTTCTAGTAGGATGTTGCTAGACTTGAAGTCTCTGTGTATCACACGTGGGCTCGAGTCTTCGTGCAAATATGCCAGCCCTCGAGCAGCACCGAGTGCTATTTTCACCCGAGCATTCCAATCGAGTGGGGCCCTTTCTTTGTCAACCCCTGAAATGTTAATAAATATCAGAACTGAAAAAAACTCGTGGGGGGGGGGGTAGATGTGATCAACCCAAGAGAGTGATTGTACACAATACCATGAAGGTGGGACTCAACACTGCCATTTGGAACAAGTTCATAAACTAAGCAACGTGCGCGTTCCTCTAGACAGATCCCAATCAGCTTGACCACATTCCTATGGTGTAGCCGACCGAGCATCTCAACTTCAGCAAAGAACTCGCGGCCTCCCTGATGGTCGTCCCTCTTAAGAACCTTAACAGCCACTTTTGTCCCATCCTCTAGGGCACCACTGTACACACGGCCAAACCCACCTTCCCCGAGAACTCTTTTTTCGCTGAAGTTATCAGTTACTCTCTCTATTTCAGCTATACTGAACGTTTTTGCCGAACCTGTATAAGCCGCAAAGCTTGAACTAAAGGATAGCGAAGGAGAGTTGGGTCCACTTCTTGTAACAGAGGCTGCAACCCCTAAAGAACATTTGACCGTTAGTCTAACTGCAAGAGTTGAAAAAACATTTGATAAGCCGTAGTGGAATGCAAATGTGATGTAATCAGAGATACTTTTAGTGTAAATTTACACTAAACATGCATCTGACCACATTGCATCACATTTCATGTAAGCTCAAGCAGTACTTTTGATGAACTTCAATAGAAAAGATATATACTCCCTCTGTCCCAATAAAAAAAACTTTTATGTTACTATGTACAGGGTCAAACTAAATCTTCTTTCATTACATATTTTCATTGATCGTTTGTTAAAAAAACATAGTAAAGCCACTTGTTTTGTATAACTTTTGATGTAGTTTTAAAATATATAAAATTATTTTTTAAACTTTACACTAATATTAAAATAAATCGAATTGAAAATAACCTCTGTAAAGCATCGCAAAGCGCAAGATCAATTTTTTTGGGGGGGCGGAGGGAGGAATTGTTTCAGAAAAATGACTTCCCATTTTGAATCCGAACAAAAGTAATTTCCGGTGTGGAACAAAATGAGATTTTTTTCCAATAAACCAACAGAGTCTAAGTTCAAGGCACATACTTGGTGATTTTCCAAGGGAAGGAATTGTAGTTGGTGGGGTAGGATCCGATTCGAGCACCCTGTCTCTATGTTTGAACAGAAGCATCCATGCAACGGCGCAACACAGTATAATTGCACCAGATGCTGAAAGCAATATCACCGCAATGAGGCTTCGATTCGGCCCACCTCTATGTCGCCTTTTAGTCACATCAACACCAAGGGGATGTATATTCCTCCCATTATCCCCGGAGTATGGGTCACTACTTATAACTCCATCATTTAAAGGTGCAGATGGCGGAGATGGAGGAAGACCTATCCAAGTCATAAGAGTCTATATTCATTATTTTTATGAATGTTTTTATCTTAAATTGATGGGAAAATATGACCAACGTTTTAATCATCACAAACCTGGATACCGCACATATAATACATCATAATCGCCAAAAAATGAAGCATTTATATTCACATCTTTGTGCCAGAACTTCTGAAATGTCAAGAAAGCTGTTGTGTTATCGAACTGTCCCCCAAGGGGTACCAGATCAATGAAGACAATCGTCTTTTCTGGATACTGGTTTGCAGAGTTTGCTCCCATGATGCGAACTTGGCTTCGATCCATTAGAACTCCAGAAGATATTTCATAAGCCAACCTTGAAACTAAAGGGAAGAAAGTGTATAGTGCTACACTAAGTCTCAACCCTATTTGCATTGGCAAGGCACAGTCACAAGAAGATTTAGGTGGCGGTGTTGTGAATGGTTCCATGCATATCAATGAGGAGCAATCTACAAAACAAAACATGTGCATTGAATATTGGTAGTGAAGCATAAAATCTGTGACATCGATAAATGTGGATAGATAAATAAATAGATATATACCTTCATTAGGCGGTGGGGGTGGAAGGACAAACGGATGTGGGAACATCTTTGGATTCCTTGCTGAAGACCAAGAAGGCGAAATTTTACTGGAAGGAGGAGGCCCTTGAAATTGCAAAAATGACAGAAAGGTAAGCAATCAAGACATCACTACTCAAAAACTAAAAAGTGTACTGAAATAATACCCGAATTTGATGGTGGGTGAGCAATATGGTGTCTAACGTTTGGCTTTGGATCTGAGCTCGGGCCAAACAAAGGCACTGGAGCAATTGAAGGTGGTGGGTGAGCAATATGGTGTCGAAGGGTAGACTTTGGATCTGAGTTTAAGGCAAACGAAGGCACTGGAGCAATCGAAGGACCTATAAAGATCATTCAAAATGCCAGTTAGTATGACATACTATGTTAACCAAAACTCAACCCCAAAAGAGCTTTCAAAAGGTGAGGATTGCCCAACACTTATTACGGGGTTCATTAATTCCTTTTATCTGATTTGGGACATTATTCCATACATATAATCAATCATAAAAGACCTAGTACAGTTGAAGCAAGAGGAGGAACTGAATGCCATAATGGAGAAGCAGTTATGTTCTCCTTTACAAAATGGTGCCTCAGAGAGTGCCTCACGTTTTTGTGTGTAGATGGAGCTAGAATAGAATGAAAAGTACACAAGTTAATTACATTGATAACTATATTTTATCAGCATCAAATATTGTTCCATTCATGAAGAAATGCACAAGTATGTGACTCACCTTTTGCTGGAGAAGTATGTGCATTAATGTCATGATGAGCTAATCTATTAGGAGGTGCAGCGACAGGGCTGGCTACTCTTTCTCCATTGATGCTTGGAGTTGATGCATCCTGCTTAACTGCAGAAAATAAATACAGTTTGGTTTTGACATATATGTAGTATATATGATATGGTTAGAGTAATATTTGTGAAGAAAATCAAAATCCATATAGCTTATCTACTTAAAAATGACAGAACAATGTGTCATCATAAAGCTTAATGATGTCAACATATTATGCATGTGGAAGCATCACCTATAGTCATTGTTTTTTTTGGAAGTGGAAAATTTCATGGATGCGGACAATATGAAAAAACTATTTTTAGATTATAATAATATTTGAAAATGTAGTTACTCAGTACTGATGAACAATGTTTCAGCATATTGGCCTTTCTTCTAAGGGAACCCCAAAATAACCCTTAGGTTTGGAGTATTTCTCAAAGTGATCTCTCTTATGCACTCCTTGAGGCAGAATAAAACACTATGCGTGGCTTAACTAGATTAAACCAAACCAGGTCAGAAATAGCTTTTAATATAACTTGAATCAGAACACACCCAGATCAGACCTTAATAAGATCAGATCCAATGAGAAAAAAAAGAACAAGCTCTAATTGTGGGTCTGCTAACAACAACATGTGCAGATGATCCGTTTGCTCTCTGTCAAGAAGGTATTTTTACCCTAGATCAGTTTTTTTAAGCATTCGAACGAAAGGGTCGTTTTGAGAAATACCCGAAACCTAATAAGTAGATCAGAAAACTTCCCAAACATTTTGCCTATCTCATGGTTCTTTGAAGAAGCGTGTTAGAATCAATCACACAACACACACCAAATCCAGATGAAGATACAGTTACAGAGAATAAATGGTACAGCCTAAACTTTGGGTCGGGGTTGCCCAACTTTTGATGAGTGCTTGTGAAATTCTACCACACACACACGCACACACACATAAGTGCATGTAGCAAGACACATTGAACAATGTTGACAATTCAATACATAGATTGTATCACTTCCTTACCTGGTGAGCTAGAAGGAGGCTCCTCATGAAGCCTTTGATGGACGGGATGAGTGTGCCCTAAAACTTTGCTTGGGGGTGATGCAACTGGAGCTTCAATATGATTATATAATACATATGATTACCATATCCCAAAAAACAATTCTCCAAGTTACATAGTATTAATAATAAATGTAGACTAGGTATACCAACTGGAATAAAAGGTGATACTGCATGCTTGACCGAGTGACCTAATGGTGTATCTTTCCGTCTTCTGTTTTGTTCAGTTGAACTTGTGCCTGCAGTATAAACCAAGAGTGATTATTTAAATTAAAAAAAATAGCCTTGAAAAATATAGCTACTGCAAAAACAATTTAACTTTCTTAATTACGTGGAGCGATATGCATTGGCTGGGGAGCATTAGTTGATCCATATTCTCGAGGACTTGTGGGCCCTGTCTCAACTGGTGGCATAGCTGGTGGAGAACTCCTTAAAGGTTCCTCGACAGGTACTACATGAAATAACAAAAATCAATTCAACTGGTTGCCTAATTGGTTGAATTTAGGACACTTTGTTTCAGTTTCTCAGGTTGGTAAGAGCCACACATCTAAATACAATATATACACATATGGGATAGTAAAGTATTTGAGTAATTGATTGATTGGATTCAATCTTCTAGTGTAGTTCAATTCATGTGCATATCATGGATCCAACCCAATTATAGATTCTATCATAGTATGAATTCACTTAAATTAAACCTTTTAGTCTGGTTTGTTCCATATGCATCCAAACCCAGTTGAGCGACTCCAAACATGTTTTATATTTGATTATAAGAGGCACAACCGCACAATAACTCTTACACTATGTTTGGTTCAAGGAATTCGTATGGAAAAGAAAAGAAAATGGTTTTCTCTCATTTCCCTCACCAAAATGGGAGGAATTTTGTTTTGCCTCCTCTTAGTACATTTTGCCTTTTCATTTTCTTTTCCTTCCACTTTTCTTTTCTTTTCCTCTCTAACCAAACAAGAAAAATCGTTTTCCATCCCATTTTCTTTTCTTTTCCCTTTCAAAACATTTGAACCAAACATAGTGTCAGAGAAAACCAAAATACCTTGAGGGACTGACACGGGAGGGGGAGTGTCCAGTGCTCTCCTTCCATAAGGACTTGGCGGAAAGGATCCCGTCACAACTGGCTGCATGGTTGGTGGACTTTGTGGCAATTCACCTAAAGGAGGCTGCACGGTTGCTGGAACTCAAAACAAATAACAAATCAATGTGTTGCCTAGGTTGGGGTGTTTTTGTAATATTTCCTTAAAAGTGATTCAATCACCTGGAGCAATTGGCACAGTAATGGATGTGTCTGGTGGTCCTTCCTCGCGAGGGCTTGGTTGTGGTGAGGATTTTACCACAACTCGTTGCCTAGTTGGTAAATTTTGTGATGATTTCTTTGAAGGTGGCTCAGCTGCTGCTGCAACTCATTACAAATACAAACTACCTTAAAACTTGTTAAGCTTGTAGACTTGTAGTGCCATAACTCATAAAAAACAAAATTTACCTGTAGGGGCAATCTGTGGAGAACCAGTTTCATGGGGTCTTGGTGGCATTGTTGGTGGCAAGTCCCTTAAAGTTGGCTCAACCGGTGCTACAACTCATACAAATAACAAAATTCATTGGTTGGGAATTGGTTTATTTTGTTGTAACTCGACTAAAGCTGCTTCAGCTGGTCCACCTAGATGTTGGTGTTTTTGTAAATATTAAAAAGTATAAGTTCTTACAGCAAATATATGTTTTGCAAAGAAAATAAATATTTAAAATTTTCATTTAATTGTAATACAATTCTAACATTCTTTCGCTTTGTACCCAGTTTTTTAAGACATCCCAAAACTTTTGCAAAATTTCACATTGACACCGAAGCGTACAACACCAAGTATTCATGCTACATACACAAAAAAGAAAAAATTACCTGGAGCAATTGGTGCGTGCAGAAGACTATTTGGTGGTGGTTTCTTTAAAGGAGACTCGTCGTCTACTGCAACCAAAAGTTAACCATTACAAGCACATAACTACCATATCACTCCCTTCATCTCCAGACACCCGGGGGGAGGGGGTATGATCGTCCCAAATCAAACTCACTTTTTCCACTTTTATTCATTCATACCTGGGGATTGTGGGGCCATAACAGGATGTTTGGTGCTTGGGAGCTCACTCCGGGGACCACTAAGGGGTGAGACTTGGACTGGGCCTTGAGAACTCATTGGAGGAGGAGAAGGGACAATGTCTTGCCCAATCATCGGAGGTGGAGAATTCATTGGAGGAGGGGTATGTAGGGGACTGAAATCATTAGGTGAAACTTTTGTAGGATTACTTGGTGACACTGGCGCTGCAGGACCTCTCAGTCTTTGAGGTGCATTGTCTAACTCTAGAGGCGGCAATGCAGGCGGTGGAGGGCTGACACTTTTCCCTGAGTTAAGCAAAACCAAAACTTCTAAGGGTATGTTTGGTTCCCGAAAAATGCAAGCAAAACGAAAAACAAGTGCAAAGTAAAAAAATGAATTTTAAAATTTTTGCAAAATGAAAAGGGATGTTAAAAATAATTGTCTTTTTAATTTTGTCACACATAAAGTAGATTTTATGGAATTCTATACCATAGAAATAAAGAAAAAAGAGGAAGAACAAATATCTAAAATGATGTTACTAAATCTGAACTTATGTTTTATTTTCTCCCAGATTTTCTTCCCTTCCAAATTTCTTCTCTATTTACTTTCCCAAGTATTTTCAAAGTTCCAAAAGGACCCTTAATTTATCAACATTTTGGTAAATACTTAGAGGTTGTTTGGATGTGCTTCTACACAGACTCATAAATGTTTTAACACGCAACCATTTCTTCTCAGAGCTACCACATTTAAGTAAGGCACAATCCAAACAAGCCCTTTTATTATTAATACAGAATGAAAAGTCCAACCACTTGGAGAAGACGATGGGATAGGTGAGATGTTTGCAGAAGATGCTCCATCGGAGATGGGAGGAATCGCAGCAGAAGAGGGGGATAAACCGTAACCTGAAAAAGAAGTTCACCAAATTTCTCCTATAAATCCCACAAAACATTGCGATTTCAAGAACAAACATATCCACTAAACCACATGGCATGACTGTTTAATGTTGATCAAACTTGAAGAAAAATCTGATGCCTTTCTACGAATGACCAGATCAAGTGCAAATGAGAGTGCATTAGCCAAACTTTCGATCCGAATATTATCTAAAATCATTTCAAAGTATAGACATAAAGCAAATTGAATCCAATCCCATAAAATCAATTTGAAGCCAATAAATATGAAACTAATGGAAATGATTAGTTGTAAGTTCTTAAGCAGACAGCCAAGAAAATGTATGTTTCAGAATGAAGAATAACTTAAATTACAGGTTGAAAATTATCTTCGAATCCCGAATCCCCAGATTCATATGTGAATCGAGAACATAAATTAAAATGAAGAACAAGAAAAGAAAAAAAAAGTTACCTGAAGAAGCAAGAAGCAGGGAAGAACAAACAATGGCAGATATTTTCAGCAGAAAAGGAAGAAGCTGAAGCATCATCCCCATGCCCATGCCCATCCCATACGAACCAAATCCCAATTAGAAAAAAGCACCAGATTTAATGACCAAATCCAATGAATAGAGTTGATTCCTTTGAACCAATCAAGAAAAAGGAGAGGATAAATATTGAGAGGCAAGCAACGAAAGACTGTTAGTTGGTAGGAATCCCCAAACCCAAAAGGAGGGTTTGGTGACATGAGATGAATTGAAGCAAAGCAAAGCAAAAGCAAACAGTGGGTTGTTCTGAAACAGTTAGCTTGACATCAAAGACTGTAACTTTTTTTTTCTTTTGGGTGTTTTATTACAGAGAGGAAGCGTTTCTTTCTGCCATGTGAGCACTTAAAAGATCTCTCTCTCTCTCTCTCTCTCTCTCTCTCTCTGGGAGAAACTGACACAGCTGAGTTAACCACTAGTGTTAAATGCTTTTAGAAGACAACAATTCTTTAACATAAAAGTACTCCGTAACAGCCATTTCTTAATTTCACTCATGACATTCAAAGAACATATAAAAAGTAAATTTCATAAATGATTTTTTTTATTACAGAGAGAGTTTGTGATGCTCCGTGTGAAAATTGATGATAAATCTCCTCACCCTTGCCTGACCGAAATTAATGAACTTGTTGATATTGATTTTTTTATGTTAATTCAATTTGTTTTTCTCGTGATTTGTGATTAAAGTTTAAAAAAATTAATAAAAAAGGCCAATCTGGAAATGAAATTTATTGAGAGAGGGAATATTATGATTCTTAATTTGTCAAAGAGCCGTGTTAGTGAAATCCAAAAAAGAATGGTATCGATTTAATGCACAATAAAATTTGTACGCAAAATCGCAAATAAATATTATCGTTTGTTGTTCCAAAAGGTAAAATCGTTCACCTAGAAAAATGTGTTTATGAAATGCAAGAAATGAATGGTATACACAAATAAATTTAATCCATGCCTATTTGGTCATTTAATTTGGTGTAGTGATAATTTATCCTTATGAGATAGGATTGTCAAAATAGTGAAATACTGAGTATCATATTCTGATCTGATATTGATGAATGCAAAGATATTTTCTTTTTTTTCTTTTTGGAAGGAATTGCTCATTAATAGTACCATTAACAACAGCAACTAATTTTTATTGTTATACTATGATTGTGCCAGCCCTTTGCGTTGGATGTTTGTGTCGGTTATTGTTTCTGTCCCGGATCACTAAAGAACTAGTAACGAGTACAAATAAAAATTTATTCATTAATTATATAAAAATTATTCTTTTCATTTCAAAAAATTTGTCTCACATCAAACAATGTGTAAAATCTCAACATTTTTGAAATTATCTTATTAAAAATTGATATAGAAATAAAAAAATTTAATTATATTATAAAAAATTATAAAATAAGATGTGACAAAAATATTTTATTTTATCACTATAAATATACAAATAAAAAAATAATAGAACACAAACATAGTAATTGAGACAAGTTTTTTTTACACAAATGGAGTATATTTCATATTAATAAAATAAATAATCTTTATTTTTATTTAAATTTTTATAGCTAGTTAGTAGTGGTTTGTCTAATTTTGCCCCATAAAATCATTTCTACTTATTTAATCACCATATCATAACTTTTCAATGTGTCAAGAAACCAACTCAACCAAAAGCCCAAGCTTTTGGTTGTGGCCCAGAAAGAGTTATTTATATTCTAACACGCCCCCTCACGTGCAGGCGTAGTTTTTTTCAAGTATTGCACGTGAAACTTTAATTTTTTTTAAACTGGGTGCCGCTGAGTTTCGAACTTGTGACCTCTTAGTTAACAAGGCTCCGATATTATGTCAAGAAACCAACTTAACCAAAAGCTCAAGCTTTTGTTTGTGGTCCAGGAAGAGTTATTTATATTCTAACACAATGTAACATCATTTTCTATTTTCATTTTCTCACCCCACTTTAAACATTTGGGAAAAAAATCACCAACATCGAGAAAACACCAAAATAAAAATTTCCTATTTTTAACCATAAAATAGGAGTTGCAAAGCTAATCATATAATATCAAAATATATTGCGAAATATCAATATACAGTATCACATTGTCATAGAACATACTTCTATTTTAAAAATAATAACATGAGATTGCTATTTTGATACATTCTCTATGTTTTACATTTGGCGGATTTCTTTAAATATTTCTATCCTTTTTTTGTTATTATATGCGGGCCCCAAATTTTTGTTCTCTCATTTTTTATCTTTAAACTTATTTTTTCATTTTACTCTTCAACTTTACGGAGTATTATTTTTTTCTAAAAAACAACTCTATACTCCTTTTATCCCAAAAACTCAAAAATCACAAGAATATTTATTTATTTGTCCGTTTTTATTGAATATTTGATATAATAAAATATTCGTGTCACTTTCTTTAGAGAACTTTTGACATATTTTTTAAATATGCAAGTTTAATTTTATTTTTTATTTTTATACAAATCTTTAAATAAAATGAACTAAAAATAATAGAAAAAATTTACTTCGTTTTCCATAACTTTTAGAGAAGGATGAAGTATTATTTGATGTCATCCTAACTTATTTTATTAATTTATTTTTTAAGACATATTTTATTTATAATTTTATTTTAGATGGTATGTAAATATTTCTACACAATTTTTTATATAATCTAATTTTTATTAAAATAAATAGATGAATCCAACTGCAATGTTTCAAAAATATAATGAAGTTTATTGTGTATTTTAAAATGTTTAAAATAACGCTTGGTCGTTACAAAAAAATGAATATTTCTATAAAAAGAGTCATATCTTGAATTCTAAATTGGAACTCGATTTTTTTTTAATGTTACTCGTTTTTAACACTATTAAGAGCTTGTCCTTTTAGGTTGAAAATTTTAACTTCTGGTAATATTTTTCTATTTTTTACTACAACTTTTCCAACTTCTAATAGGGTTTTTAACTTCTAACTCTTCTCTTTTTTTAACTCTTTCGATTTTTTCCAACTCCTTCCGATTCAAATTTTTTAACTTTTTATAGTCATTTAAAATAATGACTTTAAAAGATTATTTAGGATAACTTTTTATACTATTCTTGATGAAATCTTATTATTATTATTATTTTATTATCATTATTATTGTTACTATTATTATTACTATTATATTATTATTATTATTGACATGGAATATTTGTTGCCGAATGGGAGTGTACCGATATGAATGAATACAATTAAAGAGGCTTTGTGCCGAAACTTGAAAACCATAAAAGCCCAAACCAAATAGAAACGGTCTGATTCTATGGTCATTCACTTTGAATAGTTATAGAGGACATTATTTTTCTACGGTGTTCGTGTGTAAACTTGATAGTTTCTATCCTCCGGTAAACACCCCACATAGTCTCAACCTAAAATCATCCTCACACTCTTATCAATTGTACCTCACAAGTTTAGTTAACTTTAGATTATTATGATACGATATGAATTCTAAAATCTTGAAGAAATGATATGGACATGAAAATTTAAAAAGTATTTTAAGAAACCAAAAATGAAATCAAATGGACCGGCTAGCCAGGTATATTGAAGATGGCATAGCCCCTGAGGATCCCTGGGAGGCGAAGTTGTTGAGGATGAGGGCTCTGGGTGGAACCTGATGGAACCTGCGTGATGGAACATGATAGAAGAGATAGGGCATTGATCGAAGAGATACATGATGGAACCTGCGTGGCTCGTCAGGGTCGTACTCGATATCCGAGAGGGCCATTATCCAGGGGCAGTTCTAACCATCAATGAGAAGAAACTGTGAAGAGTATGTCCGCAAGTGTCCCACTCGCCAACAATTTTAGAGCATTCCGAGAAGACCAGCAACAAACTATACTCCTATTAGCATGATAATTTCTTTTTCTAGATGGGGTAGATTTGGTTGGAGTTTTGTTCCAAACGCAAAGGACGAGTTATAGATGGGTCGTCGTTGCCATTTATTAGGAAAATTAGTTAATATGAAATAAATATTAAACGGATAGATGGGTCGTCATTTGCCTCATTTCTAGTACATGCGCTCCAAGCTACTTCTTGTTACCGATGACCAGCTTCTAGTGAGATATTAGAAATATTAGATTATAGGAAATAAATATTATACTTAATTACTTTGCTTATCATATTGTTTTTCTAATTGTATTGCTATCATAGTTGCTCTCTTATTATGATTAGAACTCTTTCATGTCATCCTTAAAAAGGGGTATATTCTTCAATATTCAATAAGACTAATTATTATCAATTGTATCACCATTGATTATTTTACCAAGTGGATAGAAGCTGAACCTCTTGCCGGGATAACTAAACAACAAATGATAAGTTTATGGGAACTAACATCTTGTGCAGATTTGGGGCTCTGGAACAAATAATTACGGGCAACGGAACCCAGTTTGAAGGGGCAAAGTTCACAGGTTTCCTAAACACATGGAGGTAAGAAGTTATTTTAAAATTTCAAGGGAAAATTTAAAAAAAAATTCAAAAAAGATAATCTCAACTTTCATTTTGTTGTGCAAAACATGCTATTTTCACTAATTAGCCGTTAGCAAGTAAACAACGATCCAAAACTTACAAATTTTATTAAAGTTGGGATGATTATGCATTACAGTGAAATGTTGAATTATTTTTGAAGGATCGTATAAGATAAAATTGAAATTATTCCAGATAAGTTTTCGGGGAATTTACTTAAATAACACTAAAACATAATGATTTGACCTAAATAGCATCACACGTGTTTTTTCCTAATGTAGCACTTTTAGTCATTATTCAAGTAAATGTTCGCCATCACTGGACACTATGGACATTATTAAGAGCTATTTAGGGAATACAACAATTTAAGTGCTATTTAGGGAAATTACTTAAGTTTTAGTGCTATTTAGGACAAATATTTCTAATTTTTCTAGAACAATGCTAGGTTCACAAACAAAATTGTCACAAACTTACCATTTTAGATGTAAATTCTTATTTTAAAATTATTTTAGGGTATCTTATTTTTTTATTGAAGTTCAGAAATAGTAAAAATGAAATAAAAACAGGAAATTTGAAGGAAAACAAAGAATCTTATTAAAAATTAAATAAAAACAGGAAATTTGAAGGAAAACGAAGTAAACGGCACAGTACATTTTTTTGCATTAGACGTGTAAATGAAAAAGGCATCTATACGGGATCGGAGTAGGGTACAATATAGATCGCCAAAGATTTGATTTGATGTCCAATGTTTATTCTACTCCCTCCGTCTTAAAACTTTTTTCCCAAAACATTATTCCAACTTCACGAGAATTTATATTT